GGATCCCCTAACCTCGCGATGATTCGCTCTCTGAACTCCTTTTGCAGTGACTCGTCTTCTGCGCTTAGGACTACTAACTACTTAGAAAACCGGTTAATTAGTATCTGCTACATTTGGTTTCCATGTTTCGACCTTGGCAGTGGACCGTCGAAATCTGCACATACCGTCGCCCATCGCTCTTCCGCTATTTAAGTTAGCCTTTTTCCCGCTGCATGCAACTAGGTGCTTAGGTTTTTACTTCCTGCATACCTCGCACTTCGTTGTGCATTCCCGACCAGTAACATCTGGGTGCTATCCTGGATATTGTTGGATGGCTTCCAACGAATTCAGCAAAAAGTGAGTCGTGGTCAGGGTCTCTACTGGAAGGTCCTTTGTTCTCCTTAATTTCTCGTGTAGCGGCTTTCTGGACAAAGCGTCTGTTAATATCTCTAGCTTCCCTTCCTGTACGCAATCCGATCCGCCTTGCTCTAGTTTGAGATAACTTTCTCGACTTTCACATTAAATGTTGACAAATCCATTTGTTCGTAAATTTGGCTAGTTTCATTAGATACCCATCTTTAGACCTAGAATTTTAAATATGTTTTCTTTTTGGCTATTGTGTTCCTTAATTAAATGGAAAATCAGTTAAAATTTTTCAACGATGAAGGGAGCATTTAATTTAATATAATTTAATTTATATAATTCCAGAAAGATATTTTTCGAAAATTAAAAAGTGAATGAGCCATACTGGTTTCCAAAAAAAATGAACCTTCAAGCTTGTGGTGTTTACACTGCAGTTCGGTAGATTGATTTATTTTGAAACTGAGTAACGGGGATCATATAGTCGTGGCACTTGACTTTTCCGTTTCGCTTTGTTTTTCTCCTCAACATTTCGTTTTAACAGCTTGGTTTACTTTTTCTAAAAATGGTACCATGTTCTTATATGTTAATGAAAACTTGTAAATTCAAATTTGGTAAAAAAATATACTGCGTCACTGCCCAAATATAACAATTATAATTAGGCTTGGCGTGCAAAAGTAGCTTTAACTTATTAAGTTTTCTAAAAGTATTCATAAGGACTGACAATTACATATTAGAGAATTGCATGCCGCAAACACTCTATAGCTCAGTGAACTTTGTCATCCATCCCGATAACCCAGAGAGGAGGGCCACTGAACCTTAATACCATCAACTTTTGACGTGGTCATGTCATTATTATCTATTAGTTATGGCCCCAAGGAATGAAAGGCCACGCCCCTGTCCTTGGCATGACAACCACCGCTTTCCGTGCTAATTGTAAGTTATTGACACGAAACGTGCCCTAGGCCAATAATGATGACGATAGGGTTTCACTCAACGCCCACCTGTAATCGAGGCATGGCGCTCGTTCGCAGTAATTATAACTTTCGCCGGCTATCATGAATGAGACCGCCTTTTCTGTACTGTTGATAAAACATCAACACAATTGAATTACAAATGGGATTCTGGAGGTAAATATTGGTCATAGCCCGAACCCCGTTAAATCTCCACTGTTGATTTATTTATGTGCTAGCTCAGTACGTTCAAACATAATTAAAAATACTAAATATTAATAGCAATAAATCAAGTAAAAATATATAAAGAAAATATTTGTTTCTATTTAATTACAGCATAACAATTTTATTACCATTATAATTTTATTTTAATATCTACAGTAGTGGAAACAAAAATTCAAACGACATTTGCTTTCTCACTTTAAATACAATTGCTAAATGTGTATTAAATTTATTGGTCTTAAACTAACATCACATATCTATCTATCACTGAAATCTATCTTTTTGAATCGCTTACGCTTTACGGTTCAGCATTTTTATGAGGGACCACATTTTTTGGCTGTAAAAAAAAAAGAAACGCGTCCGATTCACACCGAAATTTCGGCAAAGAATCTGTGTATTTCGAAAATAAAGCTTCAGTATAATATAAAAATTTTGGTAAATATCTGTTTTTAAATAAAATTTTCATATTAAGAAAGCCACGCAGAGTGCACCTCCAAGCTACTCAAATAAATATTATAAAAACACGGTAAATAGAAGCTTAAATACTATACTAAATTTTAAAATAAACGCATTGCTAAGGAACAAAATTGTAATGGCCTTTAATTTTACAAAGAATCAAAAGCAGAATGCAACAGACAAAGAGCTCTTTATTAAAGAGCCTCTGAAAACAAAAAAAATAGGATGCTTAAAAAAGTTTTCTAGGCACCCCGATATGAGTTCTATTTATAGGCAATATAAGTATGTAGAACCTACTGCCTTATGTTAAACTCATTGAAATAGAAATAAAGTTTTTTGATCTAACAAAAAAAAAATTATTTGATTAAGGTTGGTGTTAAAAGTTTTAACTTAAAACATAAACTAGGCGCTCAAAGAATACTTTCTTCAAAGTAAAAACAAATGTTCTACAAATTTAAGGGACACTACCATGCCAGACACTAGGTTTTAAGCTTCGGAAATAGCTCTGATATTCTGGATATAAAAACACATGAAACTTCCCACCTTTATAAACACCAAAGTTATGGCATTTCCAATGGTTCAGTTATATGGCAGCTATAGGATATAGTCTGCCGATCCTTATAACATTTGATAGGTCGGATTGATTGGCCAAATATAAAACCCATAGAAAATCCCAACTTTTTAACCTTACAAACACCAAAGTTATGGCATTTCCGATCAATCAGTTATATGGCAGCTAAAGGATATAGTCGGCCGATCCCGGCCGTTCCGATATATTATATATACTGCGTGAAAAGGAAAAAGGGAGTGTGCAAAGTTTCAATTCGATATCTTTAAAACTGAGAGACTAGTTTGCGTAGAATCAGACAGACGGACATGCTTAAATCAACTAAGGACGCGATCCTGATCAAGAATATATATTCTTTAAAGGATCGGAGATGTCTCCTTCACTGCGATGCATACTTTTGACCAAAATTATAATACCCTCTTCAGGGGGATAAAAAGAAGACCGGCAATTAACATAAATTGGGGTAAAGTAAGAAGGTCACCTGGGCAGCAGGTGGTTAGTGTGACGTCACCTTCTCACGGCTTAATACATTTTATCACTTTATTATTTTGTTGCCGGTGCAATAAAAACAACACACAAAAAACTTGCAATAAATTTGCAGCAAAAGTCAACACCTTGTATATTTTCCGTAATCTATCTCTAAACGTCATTATAGGCCATAAAAAAATTAACAAAATAGTTTTAACCAATTATACTAGTTTTAAATTTGGAGCGAACGTTTGTATGCAAACTAACTATGAAACTTTGCAGATGAAATCGGAAAAATAATTGAAATAAAAACATCTTTGTTGTCGACATATTTTCATTTTTATAAGGGGATATAAACTTCAGTTTCAGTTTGTTTCCTTTCTCGTGTTTGCTTCTTTCAGTATTTTTATACCCTTGCAGAGGGTATTATTATTATTGCAACGCAGTGAAGGAGACATTTCCGACCCTATAAAGTATATATATTCTTGATCAGCGTCGATCTAGTCCGTCTGTTTTTTCCGAAATGTCTCCTTCACTGCATTGCAAACTTTTGACTGAAATTATAATATCCTCTGCAAGGGTCTACAAAAGCTTTTTAAATAAATATCTCGCCAGACTGCCTCACCTGAACCGTCTTCTAAATAATATCAGTTTGTCAAATATATTTCTTCCGCTTTTTTTGGTTTTTGAATTTGGCGGCTTTGTGCAAAGCGCTACATATCGGTATCGGGCAATGCTATATATCAATTGATAGGTCTTGACATATCCTACAAAACGACGCTATTCATAACAAGTTTGGTTATTGCGTTGAAAAGTTAGTGTAAACATGGAGTTCGCTAACGCTGAAATCCGTTATACAAACCTTCCGTGAGATTAATGGTGTTTTAGGGGATGGTACTCTATCACTTCTAACCGTAGAGGAATGGTTTCGACGATTCAGAGCCGATGAAAACGACACCATAGATAAGCCAGCCGGCGGAAGACCTGTGAGGACAAATACCGATCAAATCATGGAAAACATCGAGCTAGACCGGCATGTGACATTTCGTGTCAACGCCGAGGAGATAGCAGTAAGTGCAGAAGGCTGGATACAAAAAAAAGCTGGATGTTTGGGTGCCGCATGATTTGACTGCGATATGCTGCTGAAACGGAAAGAAATCGACCCATTTTTGAAGAGGATGGTGACTGACGACAAAAAATGAATCACATACGACAATATCAAGCGAAAACGGTCTTGGTTGAAGGCCGGTGAATCGTTTAAAACAGTGGCCAAGCCGGGATTGACGGCCATAAAAACCAAAAAAGCGGAAGGGAGTTATTTGACAACCTAATATTAAGGAAAATCCGTTGGGGGATCTAAAATTTGCACTTGTCAATTAAATATTTTTTATCTTTTCTTTTAGAATCTGACCTTTCAACTTTGACTGGTCGGCAACATTTTAAAGACACTTTTCAAACCCGACTTAGTGCATTGAACCGCTTCCAAAAATAAACAAGTTGAATATGTTGTGCGCCTTAACGCGTTTACTCCGATTATAAGCAAAATCCCTGGCCTCGAATTCTTCCCCAGCCTTCCTTCTATAAATTGACAAAGGACATAACTGGCATCTTGGATCCGTCGAATGTCCTTATATCTGTTGGTATGCTGGCTTCGCGAACTCATGTCGAAAAAATGTTATGTGTCTTTTGAAGCAAGCATATTTAATGCAATTTTTGAACTTTCAAGTTTCATTGCCAATAGGCTTACCCCCACCATTTGTTCAACTGGATCCAAATGGTTGACGGAATTTTTCGCTTCATTTAAGCATCTTTTTTTTGGGCAGCAAATCCATTTAGTACAGTACTTTTGCATAGGTATATGGGTCATCATGTAGCTGCCATAGAAACGATGGCAAAATGCAGCTCAAAATTGACATAGCTTTAGTAGCAATATAAGCATAGAAATCAAAATGTAGTCGTTTTGTAATAAATCTGTTTGTAAGTAAATCTGATCTGAGTAGAATCAGTAGGCAAATCATTCGTAGTCAACATCGAATTGTTTTGAAGTACGTTTTATTTTCATTTATCTTCAAAATAAGAGCAGAAAGTTACAATAATGCCTGCAGAAAAGGTAAGACAAATTTCGTAGATTATCGAAAATTGTTTGATTTAAATTTTTTTATTATTTACTTAAAAAAATTCAGCCCCCGGAAATCAAATTTCCCATGCATAATGTACACTTGAAGCAAACGTATGGCAATATAAAAATGGCTTGCACTTTGGCCCTGATAGCCCCACTGCTTCTGTACACTTTCAACAATATTCCACGCAAAAGGAAGTACAGGAGTTTCTACTCCAAATACGATCCGATAGATGCTTTTGACCGCATGATGAGTGGAGGCTACCTGTCATCCTGCCCGCCGGGAAGTGGTCCAAAAAAGGATGATAAAAAGGATAAAAAGAAGAAATAGGTCGATTTACCTGAAACGAAATCTGACACGATTCTCAACTCATAGAAATTGTGCAATTATCACACAATTTAAATGCAACTTATAAACTTTATTAATTTTCAAAGCGAATGCTTACAAGAATTATTTGACAAATTATTCAAATTAACCTGCTTTCTTCTTTAACGTAACGCCCTAATATGCATTCTCTTCAATGGACCTAAAATAGAAATATAAATTCAAAAGAAATTACTTCAGTTTTTAAGTAATCTGTATCCGAAAACTAAGATATTCTAATAAATTGGAGCATTGCAATCTATTTATGTATTTTTATACCCTTGCAGAGGGTATTATAATTTTGGTCAAAAGTGTGCAACGCAGTGAAGGAGACATCTCCGACCCTATAAAGTATATATATTCTTGATCAGGATCACCTCCTGAGTTGATATAGCCATGTCCGTCTGTCTGTTTCTACGCGACCTACCAAATTTCATAAGGATCGGCCGACTATATCCTAAAGCTGCCATATAACCGATTGATCGGAAATGCCATAACTTTGATGTTTATTAAGTTAGGAAGTTGGGATTTTCGATGGGTTTTATTTTTGGTCAATCAATCAGACGTATCAAATTTCATAAGGATCAGCCGACTATATCCTTTAGGTGCCATATAACTGAACGATTGGAAATGCCATAACTTTGGTGTTTTTTAAGTTAGGAAGTTGAGATTTTTAATGAGTATTAAGAATGCATCATATGAATAATTTTGGAGAATATAATTTACAGAGTATTCTGCAAGGGTATATCAACTTCGGCTCCGCCCGAAGTTAGCTTTCCTTTCTTGTTTAAACTAGGGACCTTAAAAAATCTAATTTCTTATTATTCCCTTAACTTAAGGGAGTCCAGAAATTTGAGAAAATTGAAAAATTGTTTTTTCATAATTCATAATTTTGATATTTAACATGAGAGAACGCTATAGTCGAGTGCCTCGACTATTAGATACCCGTTACTCAGCTAAACAACTTTAGATTTTGCATTAACATAATGTGAATTAGAGTGACCACACGAGTAACGGGTATAAAAGTATCTCCCTAAAAGGATTTTTATACCCTTGCAGAGGGTATTATAATTTCAGTCAAAAGTTTGCAACGCAGTGAAGGAGACATTTCCGACCCTATAAAGTATATATATTCTTGATCAGCATCACCAGAAGAGTCGATCTAGCCATGTCCGTCTGTCCGTCTGTCCGTCCGTCTGTCCGTCCGTCTGTCCGTCTGTCCGTCTGTCCGTCTGTCCGTCCGTTTCTACGCAAACTAGTCCCTCAGTTTTAAAGCTATCTGCTTGAAACTTTCCCAAAAGTTGTCTTTCTATTGCAGGTAGTATATAAGTCGGAACGAGCCGGATCGGGCCACTATATCATATAGCTGCCATATAACTGAACGATCGGAAAAGCCATAACTTTGGTGTTTTTAAAGTTAGGAAGTTGGGATTTTCTATGGGTTTTATTTTTGGCTAATCAATCCGACCTACCAAATTTCATAAGGATCGGACGACTATATCCTATAGCCGCCATATAACTGATTGATCGGAAATGCCATAGCTTTGGTGTTTGTAAAGTTAGGAAGTTGGGATTTTCTATGGGTTTTATTTTTGGCCAATCAATCCGACCTACCAAATTTCATAAGGATCGGCCGACTATATCTTATAGCTGCCATATAACTGAACGATTGGAAATGACATAACTTTGGTGTTTTTAAAGTTAGGAAGTTGGGACATTTTATGAGTATTAAGAATACATCATATGAATAATTTTGGACAATATAATTTATAAAATATTCTGCAAGGGTATATCAACTTCGGCTCCGCCCGAAGTTAGCTTTCCTTTCTTGTTCAAAACTCAAATTATTTTCAAAGTTATAGCCGTTTTAGTGACGTGGCCACTAGACCGGTTGAGCGAACGACTGGAACAATAAATGGCTGGAAGCCCAGGCTATCTCAGTATGAATAACTTTCTCTCCTGCTTTCTATAACAATACCGTTATTTTCTGTATACTTCACTAGTCGTTTGAAGATCATTGTATGGAGCTGGGATTAAGGGAATGTAATTTATACGTAATATTCTATCGTTACACTGCCCGAAACTTAATGTAAAACTTTAAACACGTTTTTCTCGAAACTACTTTTTTGATGCGGTCAAGATCTAATCAGTCGATTTACTTGAAATTTGGCATGAATATTCTTTAAATATATCTCTATCGCCGGAACCAACAAAAAATACAAATATCGACATTCGTACTCATTAAGAATCTATCATTGTTTTATTATACCCGTTACTCGTAGAGTAAAAGGGTATATTGTATTCGTGCAAAAGTATGTAACAGCTAGAAGGAAGCGTTTCCGACCCTATAAAGTATATATATTCTTGATCAGGGTCACTAGCCGAGTCGATATAGCCATGTCCGTCTGTCCGTCTTTCTGTCCGTCTGTCTGTCTGTCTGTCCGTATGAACGCTGAGATCTCGGAAACTATAAAAGCTAGAAGATTGGCATTTTGCATGCAGATTCTAGGAGTTCCTACGCAGCGCAAGTTTGTTTCAAAAAGGTGCCACGCCCCCTTTAACGCCCACAATCGCTTATATACGATTTTAAAAATTTAAATATTTCGGAAAAGTAAAAATGCAGTTTTATTGTGTTTATCAATACCTATCGAAATGTAGAAGACATTTTTCAAATCGGACCATTCGTTAAAAAGTTATGCGTGATCAAAGTTTCTATCTCCATCTCCCTCGCACTCCCTTTACCTGAGTAACGGGTATCTGATAGTCGGGGCACCCGACTATAGCGTTCTCTCTTGTTTTTCAAATAACGACAAGCATTGAAATCATGGCGACGAGGACACGGCCTCTTTTTTTTCCCCTGTTCTTCAAGAACGAATAACTTAATAAAAAACAAATTTTTTTTTAAATTTATTTTATGTACTCATTTAAGTTTAATAAACAAATGATAAAAAACAGATAGTAAAAATGTCTATTGCTTTTTATACCCTTTACAGAGGGTATTATAATTTCAGTCAAAAGTTTGCAACGCAGAGACATTTCCGACCCTATAAAGTATAAAGAGTCGATCTAGCCATGTCCGTATGTCCGTCTGTCCGTCTGTCCGTCCGTCTGTCCGTTTCTACGCAAACTAGTCCCTCAGTTTTGAAGCTATCTACTTGAAACTTTCCCAAAAGGTTTCTTTCTATTGCAGATAGTATACAAGTGGGAAAGAGCCGGATCGGGCGACTATATCATATAGCTCCCATAGGAACAATAGTAAACAAAAATTGAAAAAAATATATTTATGTTGTTTTTTATTTTTTTTTGTTCTTTGGGTTTCCATATTATTATTATGGAATTACGGTTTTAATTTTACTAAAATGGGACAACAAAATCATATAGCTGCCATAGAAACGATGGCAAAATGCAGCCCAAAATCGACATAGCTTCATTCTTTTTAGTAATACAAATCGAAATGTAGTCGATTTGTAATAACTACAAGGGTATATAAACTTCGGCTTGCTGAAGTTGGCTTCCTTTCTTGTTAAGAGTAATTCGGGCATTTGATTTTTTCAAAACTCCAAAAGAAGGGCAAAATATTCTTTATGTTATCGAAACTTTTAGAAGATTTCATATTTTCGAGACTAAAAGTGGTCAAGAAAAGTAATTGGTGGAAAAAAGGCCATAAAATGGGCAGCCGCTTAAGCTTTTCAAATTTAATACCCTTGCAGACTTTGCCGAAATTGCTAAAATTGAAAAAGTAGCGAAAAGAATAAGGTATACATAAATTAATTAGATTTGCATAGTTTCATGTCAATAGCTTTTATACTGCAAAAATGTCATAAAAATAGAAAAAAAGGGATATTTTCGAAGCCTTGAACAATTTTTACTACGGAAGCTATAATATATAGAAGTCCGATCGGCAAGCGATTTTACCCTGATCAAGGTATGCGTAAATAAATAAGACTTGGACAAATTGATGGCATAGCTTACACACTGCGCGAAATATTCTAAAAAACATAAAATTTGGATCGATTTCACCCTATTGTTTCTATGGGAGCTATAGGATATAGACGTCCAATCGATTTTCAAACTTGATCTGCGTACACATGGTTTAGGACGACTGTGAAAGTTTCAGATCGCTATCTTTTAAACTGAGCTCGCAAACGGTATTGAAACAGACGGACAGACGGACATGGCTATATCGACTCCCCCACTGATCCTGATCAAGAATATATATACTTTATGGGGTCGGAAACGTCTCCTTCACTGCGTTACAAACTTCTGACCAAAATTATAATACCCTCTGCAAGGGTATAAAAACACCAAAGTTATGGCCTTTCCGATCGTTTAGTTATATGGCAGCTATAGGATATAGTCGACCGATCCGGCTCGTTCCGACTTATATACTACCTGCAATAGAAAAACAACTTTTGGGAAAGTTTCAAGCAGATAGCTTTAAAACTGAGGGACTAGTTTGCGTAGAAACATACGGACGGACGGACATGGCTAGAGCGACTACCCTGGTGATGCTGATCAAAAATATATATACTTTATAGGGTCGGAAATGTCTTCTTCACTGCGTTGCAAACTTGTAATAATAATAATACCCTCTGCAAGGGTATAAATATTCATTTTATTTTTTGTCGGATATGATATCAAGCTAGTCGAAACATTAGCAGAAACCAAGCGCCAGCGGTCGTCTTCAGCATTTCTTGTTTGTTGTCCATTTTAACATACTCTCTTGCATTTAGAAAGGAATCGAGTAGGACTTCAGTTCTGTAGCGATTTAACCACATTTAACTAGGGCTAACCCACGTCTGCTTTCTGGTGGTGGTAGGAATGTGGCTTTGGCTACCGAAAAGCCCCCGGAATGCTGCCTAACTTGCTGAATTCAAGATGTGAAATCAAGCGGCAAGCCATGCAAGTTGAAGGGCAAAACCAAGGCAGCTGTCAAGCGAGCAACTTGCAGACAGTATCGTAAATTAAACTTTTTGGTGGCATCAGAGCCGCATGAGCTACATAGGTCTACGACAAAAGCGACCTCGTATAATGCAGGAAATGCATAAAATTTCAATAAACTCGCTGCCTGCATGTTAAGGAAAAGAGGTTTGCTGATACGTCTGGCAATATGGATGGGGCATGGGTTCTTATGGTAAATGTGCAGCGTCGGTAAAATGGAGAACTTTATTGGGGGCCGCGTTGACATCTCTCCCGGCATTGTCACGCTAGATGGTTCAGTATGGCATCTGAAAGCGAGGGATGGGTTTCCCCGAATGCACT